AAACCTCAAGGCACCTTTTTGTTAAGCGCCTCCACATTCTTCCCAACTCTGAAGTCACTTCATTTTTAGGCATTTTTTTTTATAGTAGCACTTCACTCTGAGTACCAAAATCTGTGTTAGTTTCCCAGGGCTGTTAAGGCAAATTACCCCAGCTGAGTGGCTTACAACAAAATAACAAACTGCAGGAGGCACAATTTCAACACCGAATAGCATTTTATGCAAAGTTCACATTCTCAGTGTCCAAGAAAGAACACTCAGTAAATGGTTCCTGCCTTTTAAAAAGACCTTCGTGGACCCTCAGGGTCTAGTGCATAGTATCAGTTATGAATATTAAGTTATTAAGTGGACTTTCTAAAGTAGGTAAAGAAACTGATTATATTGAACACATAAACCCTATTTAAAACGAGACGCCAGAACTCAGGAATAAGGTCTGATCAGTGTTGTCCTTTGAGAAATTTTTAAAGTTAGGAATGTGTAACCAATACCCCAAAGTGATTCATGTGCATATTGAGAAACACTGCTCCAAAGTCATTTTCCTACCAAAGTCCAACATATGCATATAAATGTATCAATAAGTCAAATTATTCGTGATTGTTACCATCTACTCTAAATGTTCCATATACTTCTTTTAAAAAGTGATCATAGAAAAAAATATTGGAACTAAAAGTACTAAGCTGACCTGTTTATGGGGTAGAAGTAACTAAAATTAATGTTATAAAATAAAATAGACTGTCCTCATTTTAGGCTTTTTTTCTACCACTCTATATATCACTGATTCTTTGCCTGCTCCAACTAACTGGTCATCTTTGGTTATCAGCTTACCATTTCTTGAGCTTTCTAGAGCCTTGTCTTCTGAAACAGGCCCTGTCTAGTAGCCTATATATGGTTGAACCCTTTTCGGGGTCCAAATCTACTAGGATTACCATTTTTATTTGAAATAGTGGTTGACAACCTGGTATAAAATGAAACCTTGAATTATGTTGAATTGTATTCATTAGCCTCCAAACTCTTCTATCAGAATAACCTTCAGATTTTTTTTTTAATAAATTTTTCCACTGAGGGTAATTCAGTAGGTCTTGAGTAAGGCTCAGAAACTGTATTTTTATTTTTATTTTTTTTAATTTAATTTAATTTATTTTTATTTATTTATTTGACAGAGACACAGCGAGAGCAGGAACACAAGCAGGGGGAGCGGGACAGGGGAAGCAGGCTTCCCACGGAGCAGGGAGCCCGATGTGGGACTCGATCCCAGGACCCTGGGATCATGACCTGAGCCGAAGGCAGCCGCTTAATGACTGAGCCACCCAGGCGCCCAGAAATCTGTATTTTTAAAAGATTACACAGGTCTGATAGGTTGAGGAACTGCCTTTCCAAATTCTCGGGAGATAGAAAATCAAAAGACTAGTCAGGTTTATTTATTTTGTGGTGGTTCCAGTTTTACATTGTTTTTCTTCTCCTGTGTTTTTCTTAGTATTTTATAATCTTGTATTTTTGATTAATAATAGGAAGGACTCTAAAACAACAGACTTCTCAAGGAAATTAATGAAAACTTATAAAATCATATTATTTCTACTAGGATAATTGTATGGTGTTTGCCTTCACTCAGTTGTTATGAATGAACTTGAAAAATCCTTACGTAAATAGCATGTAAGTGGCAGCACACTGTTGTGTCATAAACTTTAGCCAAGAGTACTGGCTGACTAGCTTGCATATCACATTTGGATCCTAGTGACTTCATCTGTGAGATTATAGTACAAATATCCACGTCCAATAACATTCTTACCCAAGTAGTGATTAAGAATTGGTAAATAATAAGGGGGGATGTCAGTGATGAATTGAAGGACTATTACCCCTTTAACACATTTGGTGCAGAAACATCTGCTTATAGACTACCACTAGCAATGGTATGAATATAGATAGCCTGCTTGTATGTTAGTTTTTAATTAATTTTGGAATAATTTCAGACTTAAGGGAAAGCTGTAACACTGATAGAAAAACATTCCAGCCTACCCTTTATCCATATTTCCCAAATGTTATTTTACCACATTAACTTTATCTTTCTTTTCCTCTCTTCTCTCCTCCTCTCTGCCTAATCCTTTCCACTCACATCCAGTTTTTTTTTCTTGATACTTTGGAAAGGAAGTTGCAGATACATTGTCCTTTACCCATAAATATATCAATATATGTTTTCTGAAAATAAGGAGTTCTTTTATGTAACCACAATTATCAAAGTCAGGGAATTAACAATGATACAATACCACAATTCAGACTGCCAGAGGGGAAAAGGAAAGAGTAAGGATTGGGAAGGAGATTGATTAGGGGGGCTCACATATGACACTCATTTGTCATGGCTCTTTATTTTTCTTTAATCTTGCACTATTTCTCAGTCCTTTATGACTTGAACATTTTTTGAAGATTATAGGCCAGTTTTGTAAAATGTCCCTCAATCCCAAAATAGGTTTTGGATGGCATGCTTTGTTTAGATAACTAGATTTAAAGTGTTTAATGTATATTATGAATTGGGTTTTAAATGCTTATTTAATTTGTAAGGAAAGAAAGGTATCCTACCATGAGTGAATTTTTTTCAATTTTGTAAATACAAATACTAATTAAGACTTCCAGAACTGAAATTCTAAGGTTTTTTTAAACTCAAAACAGTTTAGCATTATTAGACTTTTTAAGTTGTCAAAGAGTGTATCAGGAGTTTGGTATTAGGGAGCTGATAGAATGTAATCAAAGAATATCTAGACATGGGAGAAATTGCTGTGGATATTAGAAGTACCAATTGGCATAGTCATACCTGGGGGTAAGTATGTAGCATTGGGCCTTATGTTTGAGGTAATGATTAGCAATGGTACAGAGATAATAATAAGTGAACAGTTAAATTAGGGTTCTACTAGGAAATTTGGGAAATAGGTTCAGCATAATGATTTGAAAATTAGGCTGAAGATTTTAGAGAATGTACTTTAGCAGGATACTTTAATGCAAAGTGACACCATCAAAGTGACCTTTGAGTGGGACATTATAATTTTTCTTTGTAAACACAGATTGGAATGATAAGCAGAGCACCCCTACCCTAGAAAAAGAAGAATTGTTAGAGATTCGGATGGGCTAGTGAACAGTTCATGGCACTGTATATTCATGGAACTGTATAAATAGAAATAATAGTAGGAGCTAGAGGGTTAAGAGTTTTGAGGAAATCAGTCAGCTGAGGTCACGATCTCGGGGTGGTGGGATCAAGCCCCTTGTTGGGCTCTGCACTAGACGTGGAGCCTGCTTAAGATTCTCTCTCCCCCCCATCCCTCCCCCCTAAAAAAAGAGTACTGAGGAAATCAAGACAGTATTAAAACACTGAATTCTTTCACTTTTTAGATTTTTTATACATCAACACTGAGATAGTTATATAGACCTTGAATGAATGTGAGAATTTGATGTTAGTGGTTTTGGTGTATAAAAATGTTAAATTACACACTTTTAAGAAAGTACAGAACTGGACCTTGGGCAGTTAACGTTACATAAAATACCCAAGAATGTTATTGTGTACCCACTGTCTGTCAGGCATTGTTTTAGGTGCCATGTATCTAGCATGTAGGTAGGTGGATGTAATTTTGTGGCTCTTAACATTGGAAAGGGGACTGGAAAGTCATATAAATTATAATATGTATAATCTGGATGGTGGGAAATTCAACAACAACAATAAAAAGCTAGAGCAATGGGGACTGTAAGTAAAAGAGGAATGTTCTAATGGAATTCACTGTTCAGGTTTATAACTCTCTTACTGCTCCTTGTCCTTATAACTCTTTTTCCCTTTAAATGCCTCTGTATAACTTGGCAACTTTGCACTGACAGTGTGTCCTTGGCATCATCTCTGCCTTGTGGTCTCGATTGTATATATAGCACTACTCTACATTGAGATGGTATATAGTAGCATAAAGCTGATGGTAGACTTTATTTGAGCTACTAAATCTGCGCTTTATGGTTTTCTATACATTTTTCTTTTTTAAAAGGACACTGTCAAGTACTTTTAAATGGTTATTTGTAGTAGCAATTTCCTGCTTGTATTTTTTGTTTCTATTGACTACCCTTTACTTTTTTGTTTGGAATGGAATATAAGTTAAAGAGGTTTTTTATTTCAAGTGATCAAGATTAAAGTTCTAGGAAAAATAAATGTTTATTTCTTATTGGTAAAATAATAGTATTTTATGGAGAATATTCCTTTACAATTTTTAAAATAAGATGTAATTTGGATTTATTAGTTAACTGGGGTTTTTTGTTTTTTTAACTTCAAAAATTAATCAGTGTGTTAACTTCTTTAAGAAGGTTTTTTGGGGCTCTGGCTGGCTCAGTCAATAGAGCATTCAGCTCTTGATATCAGGGTCGTGTTTCAGGCCCCACCTTGTGCATAGAGCTTGTGCATAGAGTTTACTTTAAAAAAAAGGGGGGGGAGGTTTTCTTTACCTAGAGGTTTATATGACTTAATGCATTTTTTTATATAGTCCAAAAAAGGACTGATTTAACCCTCAGTGTTCCATTAACACTGCAGGTAAATTTCAGCCCAACTCTGTTTCAGTGACTTAAAATCAGAGTTTGATAGCTATTTGTAATCTTGTTAATAAACTGGAAATTTTGTTGGTGGCTTTAGTGTTCTGGTGTTGATCCTAGTATGTATGACGTTACTTGCTATAATTGTGTTTTAAACTAAGTTTATAAGAACATACAACATTAGATGTTATCATTATGATTCAAATTAAACTGCCAAGAACAAATACAGGTTGATTTTTCTCATGTTTTCTAGTCTTTTCCCCCCAGATCCTATAGCCATACACACATTAAGTAAATGTGTGAGGTTTCTCTTCCAATTTTAATTTCCTTTTATAACATATAGGAATTAGTGGTTAGTGGAATGAATATTTCTTGGTTGAATTTTTAGTTTAAGTAAACTCTTATTTGAGGAATGGCCTTGTCAAAAATATTTGCTGACCACAGCTGCTTTGTTGTAGGAGGCCTGACAAATGGTAGTGGTCGATATATCTCTGCAGCACCTGGAGCAGAAGCAAAATACCGAAGTGCTTCAAGCACTTCCAGTCTGTTTAGCTCCAGCAGCCAGCTCTTTCCTCCTTCTCGGCTTCGGTATAATAGGTCTGATATTATGCCTTCTGGCCGAAGTAGATTATTGGAAGATTTCAGGAACAACCGTTTCCCAAACCTTCAACTTAGAGACTTGATTGGACACATAGTTGAGTTTTCTCAAGACCAGCATGGTTCTAGGTAGGTGATTATCATTTTTGCTTTGAAAATTACTGCCTTGTAAGAGCATAAATTTTTCTTGACTGGGGTCATTTAATCTGCATGGAAGTTGGAAGTTTTTAAAAAATAAATACCCGATATGGATTTTTTCTTTGATATTAGGACAAATGATAAAAATACAGGTTTTTAAATTATTTATGGTTTCCCAGTTTTCTATAATGAGAATATTTGTATAACGAATATATAGCAGTGCCTTTTTATTGGATTATTTTTATTACATTGACTGACTTTAATTTTCCTTTTAAAACAATGCGCTGAATTACATTTGTGGACTTAAGTGTCCCTGATGTAGACTTTGTCTAAAAAAAAATTAGAAAGTTAAATGCTTTTGTGTTCCTTTATAGATTTGTATTTGATGTGATGTGGGTTAAGTTGAAACATTTCACTTGTAACACATATATTAAATTTGAATTGGTTTTTCCTTTTATAGTTTTATCTCCCTATGTTTGAAAATTCTTAAGAGTAGCAAATCAACATTGTATCACTCACAGTGGCTAAGAATTTATTTGTAAGAGCTTCTTTTATTATGCTCTAAACTTAGATATTATTTAGTAATATTATGAAAAAATATGTGAATAACCAATAAAATCTAATTTTTCTTCATTGATTATAATGCAACCAGAACTAACTTAAGTGTTAAACCTCTTTATGTCCAGACTTTTTGCCTAACTAGTAGTTATTTCAAATTAAGGTGTTCTACAGGGAAAAAATAATTAAGGTGTTACAAAGAAATGCTTCATAACTTTTGTCTTCTTTGCTTTAAATTGGCTGTTCACAGTACTAAATGCATTAGTACTATTTCTGGAAATAATTTTATGTGTATATATGTGGGGACATGTAAATCTCAAGTCAGATTTTTACAGAAGCGTGTTTCCAGTGTGCTGTCATGGCATGTAAAATTTTTCTACATAGATTCATTCAACAAAAACTAGAGAGAGCTACTCCAGCTGAGCGACAGATGGTATTTAATGAAATTCTACAAGCAGCCTATCAATTAATGACAGATGTTTTTGGAAACTATGTTATACAGAAATTTTTTGAGGTAAGCACACATACATGTTTGTACATCTATCCAAGTATATGTTTTTAATGCTTAGAAAAATCCAGAAAGTTGGTAAGAGTCATTGTCATATAAAAATATATGAGCTTGGGGGAGGTGCCTGGGTGGCTCAGTCCGTTGAGTGTCTGTCTACCTTTGGCTCAGGTCATGGTCTCAGGGTCCTGGGATTGAGCCCCGCCTCGGGCTCCCTGCTCAGTGGGGAGTCTGCTTCTCCCTCTGCCCCTCCCCCTGCTTGTGCTCCCTCTCTGAAATAGATAAATAAAATTTAAAAAAATATATATATATCAACGAGCTTGGGAGAAAATATTTGCACATCCTCAACAACCTTAGTCATTAGGGAAGTGCAGATCAAAACCACAGTGAGATTCTACTTTACATCTACTAGCATGGCTGTAATGAAAAAAAAAAAGGAAAATAACCAATGTTGGTGGGAATATGGAGAAATTGGAAGCCTCATACATTAAACTGATAAGCATACATTGTTCGTAGGAATGTAAAATGGTGTAGCTGTTGTGAAAAACAATTTGGCAGTTCCTTAAAAAATAAACATAAAATTATCATACAACCCAGCAATTCCACTTCTATATATACACCCAAAAGAATTGAAAACAGGAACTCCAAACGTTAGTGTCTGTTTCAGCATTATTCACAATAGCCAAAAGATAGAAACAACCCAAAGGTCCAGCAGATGAATGGATAAACAAAATGTGATATATGCATACAATAGAATATTATTCAACCACAAGGAATGAATTTCTGTTAACATGCTACAACATGGATGAAGCTAAGTAAAATAAGCCAAATGTAAAAGGACAAACACCATAGAGTTTCACTTATATGAAATACCTAGAATAGGCAAATTGATAGGGACATAAAGTAGATTGGGGCTTGCCAGGTATTGGGGGAAGTGGGAAGTTACTGCTTAATGCATACGGTATTTTTGTTTGACACAACAGGGAAGATTGGGAAACACTCTGTGATGATGATAGCACAACACTGTGAATATAATTAATGCCAGTGAGTTATGCATTTAAAAATAGTGAAAATGGCATTTTATACTATATATTTTATCACAAAAATAGTTTTAAAACACATGGGCCTACTTTAAATGAGAAGTTTAATACTAACCTGATTAACATTTGAAAATATAAAGCATTGGGAGTAAGTCATAGGTGAAGAAATTAATAATAATATAGTCCTTTTGATTTTGTTAGATGTCGTGTATTTTGTGATTTAGCTAATTTTCAGTTTATAACTAAGTTTCTGTATTGTAGCCTGGCTTAAGTTTCCTGCACAGTTAACATCAGAATATAGTTGAGAATTATCTGGTCTGAATGTATGGCTCAGAAGTTAAAAGATGAAGAGATTGTTTAAAATGAAGAGTAAAGATGTTTATTTTAAAAAGAATAACAGATGGTTAATGTATTAGTAACAAGGAAATTTTAGATAGTGAGACTTAACCCCACAAACAAGCAGGACAGTTATTTCAGGCTGCTCTGGATCTATCTTTATTAGCTTTTACCTAAATCCTCCTTCCTACATGATTACCAAATGTGATATTTTTAAAATACAGTGAAGAGGCTGCAAAAAGCGGGTTATTCAGGTTTAACAAAATAATATGGTTATTTTTATTAATATTAATTTTTTTCCATCAGTTTGGGAGTTTGGATCAAAAATTAGCCCTCGCTACTCGTATTCGTGGTCATGTTCTGCCTTTAGCCTTGCAGATGTATGGCTGCCGTGTTATTCAGAAAGCATTGGAGTCTATTTCATCTGACCAGCAGGTAATTGTAAGTTAAGACAAAATTTTTGTATTTTATTCGGTTTTTAAATTACTACTTTATTATGTTAGAATGTTAAAGTGAAACGTTAAATATTTCCACAATTAGAATAAAATACTTTAAAAAATCTGTCTCAAACAGTACATTATTAATTGTTATACAGTGGATCTTTGTTCTGTCCTCTTCATTTTCTTCAGCATCTTTTCATCTTTAAATGAAGATATTTGAGTGCCTCCTGTGTGGTAAGCAGAATGCTAAATGATGGGTATTTTTGCTACACTTGCTTATTTGATTTTCTGTAGTATCAGGAATACCTTTTACTATTTCCAAAGTGTATTTGGATTGTACTTATATTTCTATCATAATAAAAAAAATTTTCATTGAGTAGAGTGCTCTTTATTTTTAAGTTTTATTTTAATTCCAGTTAACACAAATGTGGAACGCTTCATGGATTTGTGTGTCATCTGTGTGCAGACACCATGCTAATCTTTGTACCATTCCCATTTTGGTCTATATGCTTCCAAAGCGAGCATAAGAATAAAAATTTTAAAACCAGTTGCATTCCTATATGCCAGTTAAAAATTATATAAAGTTCTTAAAAATTTCACTCAGGAAGAGTAACCTAAGAATTCTATTAACAAAATTCACAGTTTTTAAGAGGAAAGAGAACACATATAAATGGGAATATACCGTATTCTTGTATGAAAAAGTCTGTTAAAATTGGGAATTAAAACTGATCAGAATAATTTTTAAAATTACTTGAAATAGACAAGAATATTAAGAGGATGAGGATAAATGCTGATCTGCTAGTTTTTTTAAAATGTGAAGCATCACTAGTGTGGCTCTTGTAGCAGATTAAGCAGACTTTAGAAATGAAATTTGTAACCCCAAATAGATACTATTTCATATATATATAACTAGTTTATGTATTAAATGAAACTTAAAGGAAATAATTATTTCTTAAAAGGCATTGGTAATTAGTAAAATTGGAAAGAGATCACATTTGATTCTCTACCCACATACATTATTGTATAATAAATTGCAGAATGAAAAACAGTAATAACATATATGGTTATGTGTGTGTTTATGTGTAAAAATTTGTGAGAAGAAAACAGTATTACTTCTTTGGAGGAAATACTGAGTTCTAGATAATTGGAGATATGTTACAATGGAAAGATCAACAAATTTTGATTATTGTCGACGTTACATATCTCCTCTACCATAAGCCTCAAGCTGGTTTAGATACTTTAAAGATATTTTAAAGAATGTGATCTTGGGTGCCTGGGTGGCTCAGTTGGTTAAGCGTCTGTCTTCGGATCAGAGTCCTGGGATCGAGTCTTGCGTCGGGCTCCCTACTCAGCAGGGAGCCTGCTTCTCCCTCTACCCCTCCCCCTTGCTCATGATATCTCTCTCTGTCTTTCTCTAAAATCTTTAAAAACAATGAGATTTTGCCATTTGCAATAACACGGGTGGACCTAGAAGGCATTATACTAAAGTGAAATAAGTCAAAGGAAGGACAGATACCTTTGATTTCACTTACATGTGGAATCTGATAAACAGAACAAACAAACTCTTAAATACAGGGAATAAGCTCTTGGTTGCCAGAGGGGTGGTGGGTGGCAGGTGGGGGAGGCAACAGGTGAAGGGAATTAAGAGGTATAAACTTTCAGTTACAAAATTTTAAAAAGTCATGGGAATGAAAAATACAGCATAGGGAATATAGTCAGTAATGTAATAACGTTTTATGGTGACTATACCTTTCGTGGTGAGCAACGTGTAGTGTGTAGAATTGTTGAATCACTATGTTGCACACCTGAAACTGTCAGTTATACTTCAGTAATAATAAAGATATCTTAAATGTCTTTAATATTTAAAAATATAAATCACTGGGAATAAGCCTTACGTGAACCTGTTACTGAATAATGGTATTCTTTGTATTCTTTAGAATATTTTATTTTGTTATTTAGCTTATAGCTAAACATCTGTGTTATATCTTGGCTTAACAATTTCTCTAGAATTATATCAATGTAGTTGAGAGTTCTTTGGGTGAGAGAGACTTTAAATGTGTGTACTCCATTTCTTCACAATACTATTTCCTGTTGTACTAATAAGGCACACAGATTATCGTGTGCCTACCTATATTTTTCTCTAAGGATTAAGGTGTTTGTTTAATAAAGGCTTACAAATTTATTTTAAAAAATGATGATCACTAGCTAGAAGAAAACGCAGTTAGTAAATAAACCTTACTGTAAATAAGCTTAACCTTATTAGTGAGCAAAGAAACAAATAAAAGGGGTCATTTTTGCCAGTTAAACCAGCAAAAATCTAAAATTTCCCTAGAATTCATTTCCAAAGAGGCGCCTAGATGGCTAGGTCAGTTAAGTGTCCCACTTTTGATTCCAGTCAGGTCATGATCTGATGGTTGTGAGATCAAGCTCCACATGGCTCCCTCTCTGCCTGCCCCTCCCCCCCACTTGCATGCACTCTAAATAAGTATCTTTTAAAAATTAAAAATTTATTTTTTTGAGGTAAGGGGGGTTGCTAAGTAGAGAAAAAGTGGAGAATTCTGAATTAATTATATATATTGTCAGCCGAGAAAGAGTAGAAGGTGTATACAGTGAAGAGAGTTGTTTAAATACGGCAAATTTAGCATCACTAGGTTACTTTTCAGCAAGTGTCATTTATATTACAATCCTGCAAAAATGTTTTGCTAATACCATCGTTGGCTTCTGGGGGTGGCAGATTTTAAACTCTGGTATCTAAAACATTGCAAAGAAACTTTTAGTGTACTTTTGTACTCTATTTTTAATCCTGATAGCTTGTTGATGAGGTAATTTTTTAAATGTCATCTTTTTGCAGAGTGAAATGGTAAAGGAGCTAGATGGTCATGTACTCAAATGTGTGAAAGATCAGAATGGAAACCATGTTGTGCAAAAATGTATTGAATGTGTTCAGCCACAGTCACTACAGTTCATCATTGATGCTTTCAAAGGACAAGTAAGATTGATTTTTGGCTTCTAATTAGTTAGCAGGGCATTCTTTTAGAATTTGAGCGTTAACACATTTTTCATAAGTCACAAGATATATAATACCCAGTACTGTCATACAAACGTAGGAGACAAAACAGTAAATATACAATGATTTCTGCCTCTTTCATAGAGTACATCAATAGATAGCTTCATTTTTTTTGAAGCTGAAAACTGTAGAAATAGGAGTTTAATACTACTTTAGGATCACAGCTCTTAGAATTACGAACCCAGCAATGTTTTCCAAATTTTTGAGAAGGAAAGGAAGGAAGACTTCAGATCCTTTAGTATAAAACACAGAAAATAAGTATCAATTTGTAACTAATACATAGTAATAAATAGCTGCTAATTATATTGTGCACTACCCTCATCTTGCAGTCTGTTTGTTTTCATTATTACATGCCCTCCATCTTCTGGTTTGGTATCTTTTGATCAAAATGTCTGTTAGCTCCTGGGGCGCCTGGGCGGCTGTCAGTTAACATCCTACTCTTGGTTTCAGCTCAGGTCATGATCTTGAGGTTGTGGGATCGAGCCCCACATTGGGCAATGCTCAGTGTGGAGTCTGCTTCAGATTCTCTCTCCCTATCCCTCTCATTCTCTCTCTCAAATAAATAAAATCTTAAAAAAAAAAAAAAAAGAGGGGTGCCTGGGTGGCTCAGTCAGGCGTCTGCCTTCAGCTTGGGTCGTGATCCTGGGGTCCTGGGATCAAGACCCACATTGATTGGGCTCCCTGCTCAGCGGAGAGCCTGCTTCTCTCGCTCCCACTGCTTGTGTGTTTGATCTCTCTCCCTTTCTCTCTCTCTGTCAAATAAATAAATAAGATCTTTTTTTAAAAAAGAGCAAGAAAAGAAAATATCTGTTAGCTCCTAAATTGAGCACCCTGCTTTCCAGTCTTTACTAACAGGGTGGTGGTCTTACTGAAGGTGACTCCCCACCCTTCTATTTTAAAGAAATTCAGCATGTCATCAGGAACCTGTCTGCCTCATAGAACTTTCCAAAAATGTCAGATAATGGAAATGTATTTCTTCCAATTGTTTTAAGGTGTTTGTACTTTCAACTCATCCTTATGGCTGCAGAGTGATCCAGCGCATCCTAGAGCATTGTACTGCAGAGCAGACCTTACCTATCTTAGAAGAACTCCACCAACATACAGAGCAGTTGGTACAGGTATAAATTCCCTAATAGTTTTAAATGTTTATGTATTTTTGAAAATGCTTCAAAACATAGGCAAAATACTATTTATTGTTAAGTTTAGGGAAATATAATTTATTCCTAAATTAACAGACTGTAGAAACAGACAAAAAGCTTGGTATCTGAATTTTTAGGAAAAATAATTAACATCTTTTTAAAGAATAATTCTTAACAAATGACTTAAGGAAAGTAATTTTTAAACATCTATACTTAGGATCAGTATGGCAATTACGTTATTCAGCATGTACTGGAACATGGTCGACCTGAAGACAAAAGCAAAATTGTTTCTGAAATCAGAGGAAAAGTCTTAGCCCTGAGTCAACACAAATTTGCCAGGTATTGCAGTATTTTCAAATTCCAAGGGTTGGTTCTTTTAACTCTTTGGGTTTTATCAGTAAACAAAGAAATGCATGTAGACTATAGCATTAGAACATAATCTTTCTTGGGGTACCTGGGTGGCTCAGTGGGTTAAGTGTCTGCCTTTGCCTCAGGTCGTGATCCCAGCGTCCTGGGATTTGAGTCCTGTATCGTGTTGTGGCTGAACAAGGAGCCTGCTTCTCTCTCTGCCTGCCACTCCCTCAGCTTGTGCTCGTTCTCTCTCTCTCTGACAAATTTTTAAATAAATAAAATTTTGAAAATAAAAATTAAAAAAATAATAAAAAACCATAATCTTTCTGAACGTTGCTTTTATTCTTACATGACAAATTGGTTTGCCCATATATATTCCATTTTTAAAGTCTGTATTCATAAAGTGATTTGTCTCCCCAAACCTATCAATGCAAATTCTTTTAGTGCATGTTAATGAAAATCTCAGACTTAAAATAATGATTGTAATTCAAAAAGGAGGAAATCAGGTCATTATTAAGAGGCATATAATTAAACTTGAGGGTATCCAGTATGGGTTCCTCTGTGATACTGATTTCTGTTTTAAAAGTAAAGGGTAAGAGAATTACAAGAGAATACCATCTTGACTCTTAACATCTTCGGATGTGTTTAGCAAATTCTTTCAAAACCAAGGATATTTTGCTATAAAGAAAAAAGTAACGATACAGGGCGCCTAGGTGGCACAGTTGGTTAAGCATCCGACTCTTGGTTTTGGCCGAGGTTGTGATCTCAGTGTCAAGATCAAGCCCGAGTTGGTCTCTGTGTTCAGCCCTGAGTCCAGTTGGGTTTCTCTCTCCCTCTCTTTCTACCCCTCCTCCCCCTGCATGGGGGTGGGCCCTCTCGCTCTCAAATAAATAAATCTTTAAAGAAAAAAGTAACAAAATAACTTTTTGGGGGTGCCTGGGTGGCTCAGTTGGTTAGGCATCTTTGGCTCAGGTCATGATCCTGGGCTCTCTGCTCAGTGGGGAGTCTGCTGCTCCCTCTCCCTCTGCCTCCCCGCCCCACTCCTCCTCCCTCCCTCCCTCCCTCTCAAATAAATAAATAAATCTTTTAGGGCACCTGGGTGGCTCAGATGGTTAAGCTTCTGCCTTCGGCTCAGGTCGTGATCCCAGGGTCCTAGGATCGAGTCCCGCGTCGCTCCCTCGCTCTCTTGCTCGCTCTCTGTCTCTTATGAATAAATAAATAAAATCTTTAAAAAAAATATTTTAAATAACTTTCTATGTATATACTTAATTTTTAGCAACGTAGTAGAAAAGTGTGTTACTCACGCCTCCCGTGCCGAGAGAGCTTTACTGATTGACGAAGTTTGCTGCCAGAATGATGGTCCTCACAGTGCCTTATACACCATGATGAAGGACCAGTATGCCAATTATGTGGTTCAGAAGATGATTGATATGGCTGAACCTGCTCAGAGAAAGATAATCATGCACAAGGTAATATAGTTTATGGCACTTAAAATAGATGATTCAATTTGTGTGACTTTCAGGCTACAATTTTAGCTTTCTAGGTTTTAATTTCCTCTTTTGTTGTAACTGGAGAAAAAAATCTAAAATCAGTGGATAGACAAATGTAGGTATGGTGTACTGTTTCATTAAATTCCTAAAGTCTCAATAAAATCACATTCATTTCTCATCTGTTTACCTATCTTTAGCATTGCCCATCCCTATCTTATTTAAATATATTTGGTTTGCCATAATACATGGGTTGAACATTAATTTTAAAATCTAATTAGGTTTTCTCGCTAACCCAATACATTTTCCTAAAGAGAGAATTTATTTTGATTTGATTGGGTTTTTTTTTTTTTTAAACAAGCTGTTTGCTCCCTAGAATCTAATGATTCTTTTAAATGGCATTAATTTCCATGGGAAAACTGTTAAAAAGAATACTGGAAGAAATATTAAATACCCAGTCTTCCTCTAAATCAGTTCATTTAAGAAACAGGACAAGGGGTGCCTTGGTGGCTCAGTTGGTTAAACGTCTGCCTTTGGCTCAGGGTATGATCCCGGGATCCTGGGATCGAGTCCCACGTCAGGCTCCCTGCTTGGCATGGAGTCTGCTTCTCCCTCTGCGCCTCACCCTTGTCATGCTCTGTCTCACTCACTCACTCTCAAATAACATCTTAAAAAAGAACTGGACCTACAACTTCTTTGGACCTCTTGTCATATAAAGAGAAATATAAGATCATAAATTTTTTTACTTTTTAAAAATAATATTTCTGCTTAAATATATGACTTAAAAAATTGTCAGTCTTTTTTTTTTTTTTTTAAAGATTTTATTTATTTATTTGAGAGAGAATGAGAGAGAGAGCACATGAGAGGGGGGAGGGTCAGAGGGAGAAGCAGACTCCCCGCTGAGCAGGGAGCCTGATGTGGGACTCGATCCCGGGATTCCAGGATCATGACCTGAGCCAAAGGTAGTCGCTTAACCAACTGAGCCACCCAGGCGCCCCAGTCTTATTTTTAATAACTACATTATTTAACCAATATCATTTATGACATTCGGATTGTTTCTAGTTCTTTAACTATCATAAGCAGTGCTGTATATGAATGTCTTTGCATAATTACCTGTTTTTGTAGAATAAATTCTTAGGTGTTTCCGGAATTGCTGGTTCAAAGTATGTAAACATTTTATGTGTTGGTAGATACTGCCAGGTTGCTCTCAAAAAATCTGTACACGTTTGCACATCTACCAGTATATCAGAAGAATACCTGTTTTGTCATCATCTCATCAGTACCAGCTGTTATTCCTTATAAAATTTTTTGCCAGTCTGGGGCACCTGGGTGGCTCAGTCGGTTAAGCATCTGTCTTCAGCTCAGGTCATGATCCCAGGGTCCTTGGATCGAGCCCCACGTCGGGCTTCCTGCTTAGGGGGGAGCCTGCTTCTCCCTCTCCCTCTTCCCCTCCCCTGACGTGCTCGCTCTCTCTCTCTCTCTCTCTCTCATAAATGAGTAAAATCTTAAAAAAAAATTTTTTTTGCCAGTCTGGGTGGAAAGATAATGATATTCTTTTTATTTGCATTTTAAAAAGTATTAGTGAGATACTGAACAATTTAAATGTATTAGCCATCACATATCTGATTGCTCATTCATGTCTTTTGCTCCATTTTTATTGAATTTTTGTCCGGCAGACTTGAGGTAGAAAATTCTGCCTTCATCAACTTTTTAAGAACTTAAAATAGTTAACTAGTGATGCCTTCCTGCTATGTTTGGAGCCCCTCTGCTATTTGCATTTGTAATAGTTTAGAAGTAGTGGTTTGTTTATTCATTGAATAATTTTGAGAGATTCAGTAGAATGAACTGCTTTTGCAAACAACTTTCTTTAAAGAATTTGAATATTAAAATCCAATTATTCTTCTAAATCACTTGATATTGAGGAGTGATTTTTTAAGAAACCAGAAACTAAAATAATTAAGTTTACTAAGCAGATTATTTGTTTTTCAGATTCGACCTCACATTACTACTTTGCGCAAATACACATATGGGAAGCATATACTGGCCAAGTTGGAAAAATATTATTTGAAAAATAGCCCAGATCTAGGGCCTATAGGAGGACCACCAAATGGAATGCTGTAAAGGGAAAAGAGAAAGAAGATGATATAACCATGTGAAAAGAATGTTTCTTTTGTGAATTATCAAAACACAACTCAACCATGAATCTTCAAAATTTTTTTTTAAAGCAAAACTATTTATTGACTTTATTCATCCATTTGTAAATTTTTTAAGGTTCTTGTGTATATTTGGGGGGTGGGGGTGGTGAATTATAAATTATATTCAGCCCTGAGTGGAGACCTATCAGATTGGATTGCTGGCAAAGCACAGAATGCCTGTATATGATGTAACTATCAAAAAAAAAAAAAGCTGTCACATATTTTGTAAATTTTTACCTTGTAAAGTCACAAAAATAGTTTTTAAAGGAAAAAGTACAGTATTCTTTTAATAAACTGGCTTGCAGTCTGGTAGGTCTACGGACCCCATAGCACAACAGGTTTATAGAGATGTATATAGAAATATAGTCCTTATTTTTTTTTTTGTTCTCTGTGTGAAGCCTTTTATAACCAATTAACAATCAACTGCATAAATATTAATATTTTAAAAGAAAGTTAAGTTGTATTTTGGTAATTCACAAACTTATCATGCAAATAAAAACTCGGCAAGTAAGACAAGAATTAAATGATTTGAGATGAAAAGAGCTTATATTTAAAGTGGATGTGATTTTAATACAAATACTGCCCTAAAACGTCTCTGGCAATGTACAGAAGTATTGTATATACTTACATATGTAATTGTTGTAAGAGGTAGAAAAAAAACAAAATCATGGTGACACTTCCATTCAGTTAAATGCACTAATTGAAAAGTTAAGTCCCTTTTTAACTTTTCAGTTTGGTTTGCAATCTGAGAAAGAGTGGAAATTTGTATACTGTTTTGCTTATAGAATTACAAGGACATGTTGAGGAAGTGTTGAGCTTTATTTTGCTTTTTCATAGTAGATTTTGAGAAAGTAGGAACCAGATAGAGGTGAAAGGGGCCACTGAAAAGTGAATTTGTTAGCTCAACATTTAAGCATGACTACATATTCAGATAGCTTTTTTTGCTTCCTATAAATATATGCATTGTGTGTGTAGTAATAGATGTAAGTTTACACTTTGAAAGCAAATCTTGTTTCAATGTTTATTATAAAAGCCTTGCTAATTTAGTAGTGATGCTTTCCTTGGTTGTACAGGTGTACATTTGTAAACCTTCATGCTGTAAATGGAATTTGTTTTATCTCTTTGGGAAACATTTGCATTTTAGTGTACATTTATGTCCCTGCCCTCTTTGACCTGGCATATAGTGTTGTATAATGTAAATTTATTTCTCCAAATCGAGAGTGATTTTTTAAAAATTTTTTATCTTTATATGGTTTCAGAAGTATGAACCAGCTTTCTTTTTATTATTGTGGGAAACATTTTCTTTTATAACATAGTTGTTGACTCTGTTAATATGGACATACTAGGATTTGGATCACTTTCAAGAAGTCAGGGTATTGTGCATAATAAGAAAGTATTGGACTGAGATATTTGGTTACCATGGAGGCCAATGCTTTTTCCATCTTATTAAATGTGATGTGACTTTTTTCTTTGTACAGAAGAGTACTGTATTTTTGAATAGCCTATTCCCAAGTAAGAGCAAATCTGTATGATAACATTTTTTTCTCTGAAAGACATAACAGTAACATGATGTACATTTACAAGCGGCCTTATGTACATTTCCCAACAATCTTTTTAAGGCAAAATTGTGACCATATGTGTATAATTAAAATCGTTTTTAATCCTTTGCCTATGAAAATATTTTGGAAAAAAAAAACTTGCTTTGTATATTCAGTTTCTGAAAGATAAAGAAAGTGCTTTGTATTTTGTTGAAGTCAGTATTTTGTATAAAACCATTTATGTTGACCCACTTCTGTTTAGTGCTGAAAACTAATGAACCATGCTATCTCCTTCGATTGAACATGTAAGGGATTTTTTATTGGAAGTCTGCAGAAGAAAATCATTCTTCTGAGCGCAATATTGAATATAAAGGTTTTATCACTTAGCTGTTCATATCATGAGCCTAAAAATAATGGCATAAAGTTTGGGGTGCCAGGCATACTTTTTCTTGTTTGATGTTGAGTTACTCTAGTTTTCTAACCCAACATTCCATGTTGAGTCCATTAAATCCAACCACTTGTCGCTGTCCCCTCTCATCATAGTCATACTGGTTCATCAGCATGTCCCAGTCACAGTGGCAGTGCTTTTCCCCTTACATATAACGCTGCTCTCTTTCACCCTGTCCTACTTTGTTTTGCCAGCCTCAGAGTGTCTTGGCCCCGTGTCGAAATTTGTTTCCAGTATCAGCTCATGGTTGTGAGCTGATCATGATCCAAGTTGTTCTTGTTGGAGATTGATAAGGGACTTTCCTGGATTTGCACAGTTGAATTCCTGGTTTTCCTTTTTCCTACCCTCTGTTGGCACAGGCAGTTATCTCTGCAAATTTAGAAAGCCCTAGGGGATGACTGGGAAATAGAACCTTTCTAGGGTTTTGATGTTCCCATGTATCCCAATATTGACAACCCCATCTTCCCAATACTTTGGGGCCTGTTCTAGAAGAATATCTATTATTGTAGAAATTTTATGGTCTGCCATTTTGGTGTCCACCTCTCTGATTCCACCATTTAATAAGTTGGCATGGAATTTTGCTAAAATCTGAACATCACATTTCAGAATAAAGAAACTTTAATTGGGCAGAACCACTTAGACTTTACTCTTGAGTGTCTCCTTTTGATATGGATTGTTTCTGGACCAGTTTGTCTAAGTCCTGGCTCTTGGTTCATATGAAATAATGTTATCTTCACTTTGTATATTATGTATAAATTAGAAAATGAAAAATGTGTGAATAACCTTGTATGAAATAAACCTGGTCTTGTGTTTTTCTCTAGCTAAAATACCCTTCTGTATCTCAATTATAATTCAGATTGCCCATTCAAGTTTACTCTGATTTAAGGAAAAGCAAATATTTTTATCACATGGATGCTAGTCTGGGGCTACTGATTACTCTGATGGTATTCCTATCTTTTGATTAGTATTTAGGATCTCTGTCTAATTACATAGAGTGATTACACACTTCATAGGATTAAACTTTCAGCCTGTTTCCTTGATATTTCTTCAAGGTTGTTTTGAGGATTAAATTAAATCACTTACTTTACCTATAGGTGTTTGTTTCCTTTCCACATGAACTTCCAGAGACAGTGTTGTCTGAAGGAGAATACCGTTTGGGTTCAGGCATGGATTTGAAGTTTACCTCACAATTCACAACCTTGTGAACTTGGGTATGTTAACTCCACCTGTACCATGGATGAGTACTATTTAGGTCATTGATTTTAAGAATTGAGAGGATCTTAAAAAGGTACATAGAACCCAATCCTCAATTAATGCTAATACTATTTCCATTTTCCTCTCCCTTCTATAGCTATTTTGTTTTAAGCCATACAGATAATTTGATAGAATCCAAAGCAGAGATCTACATAAAACTACGTGGAAAAGATGTTCATCATACACTTTTAATTTTATGCCAGTTTTAATTTTACCTTGTTTTGGTTCTGTTCTGAGCTGAAAGCAACCCCTCTGGAATTGTTGACCTATCCCACATCATAGAGATGAAATTAAAGGACCGTAAAAGAAATATTACATCCTCCCACCCTAGCTTTTACTAACCTAAGAAAAGCAAGGTTTCTGGGTGGCCTGGATGGTAGTCATTCTCTGCCCTCACGACTGATTCTCAGGAAGGCTGGGGTTGGTGGTGGACCATGGGGAAGGGCACAGGAACCCCAGAGGAGCAGTGTTCACTTGTCTACCTTACCTAGTTAGCTTTCAAGGACCGATTTAACCTGACGGGATTTGGATGCTCCCAGACAGTAAATCTACGAACACAGGTGAGAAGCATGGAGCGCTGTGGCACCGGTGCACACCTTCTAGGAGGCTGCAGTGCTCAAGAGCGCTCAAGGAGGCTGTGCGATCCTGACCTGCTAGGCCTCAGTGTTCCCATCTGTCAAGTCACATACTGTCGGGGCACTTGGGTGGCTCAGTACATTAAGCATCTGCCTTTGGCTCGGGTCATGATCTCAGGGTCCTGGGACTGAGTCCCGAATCGGGCTCCCTGCTCAGCGGGGAGTCTGCTGCTCCCTCTCCCTCTGCCCCTCACCCCACTGATGCACATGTGCTTTCTGTCTCTCAAAATCTTTAAAAAAAAAAAAAAAAGTGGGAATACTATCTTGGCTGCACCCAGAACCTTGCATCTGAGGAGTGCTTGATGCTAAGAACCCAAGAGAACTGCAGGACAGATCCTACAGGAAGCTCAAAATTCACTGGAATTTTTATTTAACGTCATTACCTCCATATCCTGTAGACAATTTTTCATTTCCTCTCTGTTTCAGTCACAGGACATTTTTCTAAATATTCACCAGGAACTTAAACCAAATGAAATAGCCCTGTAGTTTGAAGAAAGAAATTTGCTAGGTTGAGTTTAATTCAAGTTTTCTTGGACACCAGAGTATAATGATTCAGAGTCAGGACTCTGGGATTAGCCCAGGTCGCAAGCCTTTAGCTTTATGTCATTAGGCAAATGGTTTTCATCTTTCAAGCCTTAGTTTCTTCATGTGTAGGTAAGGGAAATGAGACCTACCTCCTAAAATTGTGAGAATTAAATGAGATCTGTGTCGTTCTGGGGCAGTGAGTGATTCCTGTTACAGTGAGTTAACGAAAGGTTGGGGGGAGGGGTTTTTAATTTGCCTACATGCAGCCTCAAAACATTGAGATTGGAGCTCATTTATGTTTCTGCATATGAGCTCTTGATTCAAGTTGCAGAATAAATCACTAAGTAGGAAAACTGTTGAAGAAAGGATTAAGGAACTTAACAGCATTTTAGTTGTTGGTACATTTAATCTTTTTTCTTGGTACTAATACAGTCCTGATGACTGCCAGGATGTTAACAATAGGGAGTTGCCCTATATCCAGGAGCAGTGGAGTGACCTGTCTCTGCATGATGGGCAAAGCGTGGAAGTAGCGGGAACCTGGAGGGAGGGCGAAGGCGGCACTGCAGATTACAGAGAAGAATTTCCATCGCGAGGGCCAAGCCCATCTCACCTCAGTCTCACCCCAGGGCTTTCATGGGAAGAAGCCCTGAAAAGTTGTGTCTCAACACCTGGTGGGCCCATCTTACATCGGAGGTCGGGGGTCAGGGGGTGGGGGGAGCATGGAGATCACCCTGGTGGAGAGGAGGGATGTTTGGGAGCCTCCCCCCACCCCCACTTTGAAAGTCAGTTCTGACATCGTCCAGGACACAATTCAGTTGAATAGAATGCGGTCGTTTTCACTGAAGAGAATTAGAAAAGAAGGCCAAAAATATATCTTAGAAATACATCTACTATTAGAAATATATCTTAGAAATGTTTAAAATACAGTTCTTAACTCCTAGGTTAGAGAATAATCTGGAATAAACCATTTGGGCCAACTTCAAAATGAGTAACAGTGCTGTATATCAAAACTTGGGGGACTTGGGCCAAAGGCTATTCAGAGAAAAATATTTAGCCAAGAAAGTCTGAAGATAATTTAAGAAGCTAGTACGGGGCGCCTGGATGGCACAGTCAGCTGAGTGTCTGACTCTTGGTTTCTGCTTGGGTCATGATCTCAAGGTTGTAAGAACAAGCCACATTCTGGGCTCCTGGACCCATGCTCAGCACAGAGTGCTTCAGATTTTCTCCCTTTTCCTCTGCCCCTCCCCCTCCCTAAAATAAATCTTAAAAAAAGCTAGTAAAATAACAAAATTACAAAAAATATAGGAAGGATTAATAATAAACTTCACAAAAAAGGAATAGGCTTGATTGCTTAAAAACAAAAATGAGACATACTTTTGGCAAATCAGAATTTTAAAAATAGGTGAAAAACACAAATGGGGATTTATGAAATTGCAAGGTTTTTTTAAATTATAGAACATTATATAAAAAGTCTACCTATAGGGGCACCTGTGTGGCTCAGTCAGGTGTCCTACTCGATTTTGGCTCAGGTCATAATCTCAGGGTGGGGAGATCGAGCCCTGTGTTGGGCTCTGCGCTCAGTGGGGAGTCTGCTTAAGATTCTCTCTCCCTCTGCCCCTCCCCCTGCTCACTCTCTCAAATAAATAAATCTTTTTAAAAACAAGTCCACCAAAAAAAAAACAAGCCTACCTATAAATTAAAAATCAAATTTTCTATGGAAATACAAAGTTCCAGAATTAAGGAATAATAGAAAACATAAATAGACTAATAACTATAAAAGAAGCTAGTCAATAAAGGTGAAGGAAGGTCTCACATTGCCTGATGTCAAAACTTTTTACAAACCTACAGTAATCAAAACTGGATGTTAACTACACATTGTGATCATTTTGCAATATATACAAATACTGAATCATGCATGTTATATGCCTGAAACTAATATATAATGTTATATTTCAATTATACCTCAATTTTTTATTAAAAAAATATGTGGTACTAGCATAAAGACAGACATATAGACCAATAGGATAGACTAGAGAGCCCAGAAATAAACCCTTGCATATAGGGTCAAATGATCCTCAACATGAGTGCCTAGACCATTCAATAGGGAAAGTAGATGTCAGGAAAATAGGATATCCTCTTGCAAAAGAATGAAATTGGACCCTTACCTTACACCAAATACAAAAAAGAGCTCTAAATGGATTGAAGACCTAAAATGAAAGACCTAAAACTATAAAACGCCTAGAAGAAAACGAGAAAACTTCATAGC